CCCCAAAACCCCAAAACCCCAAAACCCCAAAACCCCAAAATTCTAATAAAATGCTGAAAATATATTTAAAATGGCAGATTGGTACGATGTAGACATGCTCTGTGTTCTTTACCTCCACTATATCCTCAGCTACGTCTACATCTTCAGACTTCTACTAACATACCAAGGAGACTTAGCCATACCACGATCAATTTTATTCCTAGTTAACTTATCGACGAATATCTACCATCATATAGGTAAGTTTAGTGAAGGAAGGTGCTTATGGGGGTATAGCTGGAGTCGAATTTCAGAATGTGAATTGGGAAGCCATCAGACAGGTCGTTGGGTGGAGTGAAAGGTAGGGAGCGAGATTTTGGGGGAAGTGGAGTTGTTTGGGGTTATGGGTTGGAGACTTGGGGTTTTATTGGGGTTTGGGTCGAAGCTTCGAAGGGTAAGGATTGAGTGGCTAGAATTGATATATTTGAGTGGGATAAGCTGGAAAATCATTAAATTAGTATGTTTTATGGAAAGTACAAGCTTTATTCTAGCTCTAGATGTGCCTTTCATCGAATGTAAGCATTTTATGATTCTCTAAATAATCTATTGGAATGCAACAGCTCTAGCCAACCAATTCTTATCTTTAGAAATCAGTAGATACAATTGAATGGAATTAAAATTTCTTTGGTCATAAATTGACAAATTATGTATCAATTTTGAAATATCTATGTGGTCATGGAGTCAACAAGAGTTGTATAGAGGATGAAATAAAGCAAGCTGAATTTTAGGATGAGATCTTGTATTCTTAAGATGGCCTTCTTTTAGAAAAATCAGAAATCTCGTGAGAAAGATAGAGTCTAAGATTGGGGTTGTTCTAACAATTATCCGATTCATTTTATGATTCAACAATATCAATTATATCTTTTCTGCAGAAGGATCATCAGACTTAGAAATGGGAATAGTCTATTTCTACCTCTATTTTGTAATAACCTTTTTCCATACTGAATGAATGAGGTCAATATTTAATATCTTATGGCTTTTAATCCAGTTGCCGCTGATATTCGTATGGCTGGTTTTATACTTCTCTTGTCTTCAGTCTTGATTTAAAGGAATTAACAGAAACAGACAAGAAGAAAATCAAGGTCCGGACCCTCTTCAAGAGATTCATATTGATAACATTGACGAAGCCCGGAGACTACAAGCACTGAATCTGATGTTGGGCCCCGCTCAAGGTCATCCTGAAAATAGAGTAAACAATGACGGTGATATTGAACTTCCAGATTTACAAAACTTTGTAAATGCTTTAGGAAGGATGGTCGAAGGAATGCACCAGATTGAGAGGAACAACTCCGTCAAAATGGTACAGCTTATGATGGACAGCTGGAAAAGAAAGTTCAAGCAAGAAGATATCGCAGTAAACCCTAACTGATGTGTCTGACTTGATGACTTTGTAGCTGACGAAGATATTATAGAACTCCATTGAAATCCAGGTAGTCATGGTCATATATTTCACCCAGATTGAATAAATAGTTGGTCAGAAAAAGAAAAGACCTGTCCTCTTTGAAGAAAGAATTTCGTTGAATTGATTAGACAAGAGCACAGAAATGAGATGCTCAATAAGGATGAGGAAGAGAAGAAGCAGTCTCCTGCGAGAGCGATTGGCCCATCGTATGGTATTTATGCTAGAGAAGAAAACCAGTTAAGAAATAATGGAGGCCAAAGCCTATCTTCTATAATTGAAGAGGAACCCTATAATCCAAGAAGATATTCTTTAAGTGATGGGAGATCTCATAGCCAAAGTTTTGATGGTTCCCAGAGAAGAGCTTCCGAAGGGGGTATACCTTCTAACAGAAGACCAAGAAGTAGAGGAGGAAGTGATCCATCTATCAGAACCCACTCAGATATAAGACCTGTTATAGAGGAAAATAATGTTCATATTGGAGAGAATGTGGTCATTGGAAATAATGTGATCTTTGATGCAAGACAGAGAGCAGCTTCAGATGCAGGCAATTATGAAAGTGCTCATTCAGCATCAAGCGCTAGAGTGAGATCCGAAGGTAATTAATTATACTTCAATCTATGTTGAAAGAATAGGGGTTTTGGGGTTTTGGGGTTTTGGGGGTTTGGGG